CACTCTAATTTAATTCACTTCACTCCAATCCATCTACTCCACTTTACTCCATTTTACTCTACTTCACTTCACTCCACTCCATTTCGCCTCATTTCGCGTCATTTCACCTCACTTCTGGCCGACTTGCGTGAGTGCGATAAAGCCCCCAAGCAACAGACTCGTTCCGGCCGGTCGTGCCGTCTCTTGTCTCCGCCCAATGACCCTTTCATTCCGACCTTCGAAGGAGTTGGCACCAAAATGGCCGCCAATCACTGTGCAGTTTGTCTGTGTGTTGCCGCGTGAGTTGACGATGCTCGAGCCAATTCGCAGGCACTAGAGACAACCGTCAGCGCACACGGACACGCCGGTGTCTGGAGGCAGTGACGTGAACAGCTGAAAAAGGGCCTAATCCACGTCTTCCATTGCACCGCCAGACCGCCGGTTCGCTTGGCCCACTCGCAGACAATGTACCCGTCGACCAGCTCAATCTTGTCTCCACGCCCTGGCAACCGGGCACTTGTCGGCAGCACTTGTCATTCTCACCCATTCCCTCGACGGAGTATCGTCCTTTTGTGCTTACTCATTTTGGCTACTGCGACTTGTCTACACTCAGTTGTCATGGCAGCAACAGAACGCACCAGTCGACCGTCCCACTCTCCGCCAAGCGTCCCTACGCGACAGGGTTCCACAAGACATTCGGTAAGACCACCACATGCGACCCCTTTCTTCCGTTACCCACCAGCACGGGGACCAGTCGAGTAGACCTCAGGTGAATGTAGTTCGCATTCAAGAGCTTCCGGTAGTTTCGAAACTTCATTAATTGGATCGTAGTAACGAGTACAAGTCTGCTTCATCAACTCTCTCACGAGAGAATGTGATGCTGAAAGTGGTGTCGGCACGCACGTTGGAGTGCAATTTGTAATGTTCACATGTCGAGATTGTGGGCTGCACTACTCCGACGCGGGTTCGAGTCCGATTATGCGGGTTTCGAGCTTAGGAGACCAGTTCTGATGTGGCCAAAGCCACGCTCCAGTCCGGCCGAGATGAGAATATCTTCGAAAAAAAGCACTTTCAGTTTCTCATCACTTTGGGCTATTTGGCAGAAACAAACTACCGGTAGAGTACTCAAATACATACTTTGAGTGAACTTTCTTTCCAGATCATCCATTTTGTGTGTAACGAGTGCATAGTTGTGTCGAGAACTTGGTCGAATTGTGCGAGGAATCTGTTGTTTCATAATTGTTGAGCTTGCTTCCATTTCGAGTGGAAGTGTTGGGTGAAGACATTCGAAGGTCGGCTCCACCAGAAGACGACGGCG